TGACATTTTCGTTCTCTTAAGCTTAGTCATTCACTTAAAAGTACATATTTAAGATGCAGCCTTTATTTGTAACTCTACAATGGGACTCTGGAAGCAAGTGACACATAAGGAGTGACCCATACATTACCTTTGAAAAAGAATGACTGATTTTCCATAAGAGTCTTCATTTCAATATTTGAAATGTTATGTCATAAATATGCTAGATATCCAGACAAAGATACTGAGAAACACAGAGGTACCGGAATCCAGAAATAATCTAGTGTGAGAAACTAGATTTCTCACACTTCTCTTCATTGAATTTTAGCTCTCTTTAAAAGAAGTGTTTCTATTACTAGTAAAATGTTTTCATGGCACTTATGATGACAGTATTTCCTGAAGAAGCTATAGAATGACCTAGTAAAATAGACAACATTAGGCTTCATTTTGTGTTATTCTAGAAGCTTTTTAAAAACTCTATTAAATAATTTTCTATGGTACACTGTACAATCTCCCTGCTCTACCTTTTCACTCCACATGGAATATGGTTCCATATCTATCACATTCTATTAACTCTTCAAGACCTGTTTTCTCCAGTGAGAATCTCCAGGCTATTGCATATAACTGCTTGTTTATACAAGGGGCACCTCCAGCAACCAAAATGAAATTTCTTTATAAAAAATTGTGTAGTCATTCTTACATGTTTAAACTTCAGTCACCTTCAAAGTCCTCTCCATTTGATGCAATACACCTATCGAGACTTTTTTTTCACTGCCTAAAACAGTTGCTGAACTCATTGATTTTGATGCCTTTTAGTACCTCTGTCATTTTTTGTTTCACCTCTTCCACAATGGCAAAATAATTCCCTTTGAGGACTTTTTTTTTTCATCCAGGGGAACAGAAAACAGTCGCTTGGGGTAAGATTGGGTGAATAGGGACAGTGGGGTATGGGGGTCATGCTCTTTTTGGTCAAAAACTGCTGAACACTCAGCGCGGTGTGGGCAGGTGCACCTGTAAATCACCCCTCATGAAATGGGCAAATGTGTTGAAAGAGGCTTCAAAAAATCTTCACTGAGGCCACTGCAGCCTCTCTCAACAACGCCAGCTGGTGCACTGAGACAGAGCAGTTCCTAGAATGTTTACCTAGCAGGGGAAGCCTGTACCACAAGGGGCCTGCCCTCCAGAAGAGAGTTTTGGTTTTTCTTCGGGGGGGGGGGTCTCCCCTCATACCTTTATCATAGCTTATTCTGAAAAGACACTTGTACACATGATAATTTTTTTTCCCCAAGGAGCTGGGCTGAAATCTTGAGGCTTTTTGTGTTTTTAAAACTGTTCTATTACCTCACTTTCCCTCAACTGGAGTTTGTACTTCAGATCTTACAAACATTTTCTCTCTCTCATGGACTTGCCTTCCTAACACGATGGTCACTGCATTGCAATTCATCAAAATCCATTGACTTTAATAAAAGCATCATTTTTTCTCAACATACACACACACACACACACACACACAAATTCAAATTCCTACTTCCTCCCAGGACCTAGCACAAAACTCCATGATGGCAGATACTTAGACTTTGTTTAAGTTGGAGGAACGCCTCATACCTTTGGTTGAGGTGATCAGTTGTGCTCATTTCATGAATAGCCGACGGTCAGCAATACTCAACACAGAAAGGACAACTCTTGGTTTCTCATGCATTAAGTCCCATAATCATGAAATGTATCTATCATCACTCAAATATACTAGATATATTCACCATATTGAGAGATGGAGAAAAATCTAACACCTAAATAGTTGACTAAATTTTTCACTCGGCATTGTGATTTTCTAAATAGACACGGACATATACGTTTCCTTTCAGAAGAATACAAAATAGTTGTATGCCTGGTTGACTTGCTAAAACATTCATTAAGAAAAATCCCTGCACCGCTTAAGATCAAATCCTATTTTCCAAAATTATATTAATCTGTTCAGACTGCTAATAGCTTCAGGAGAGGGAGAAAAGAGACAGAGGGAGAAGGAAGAAGGTGGGGCAAGGATATTTTTGATATGAAAACATATTGGGCAGGGGTGACTTAGAAGGAAATGAATTGTGGATCTTTTTTTATGCTTTCCAATGCTAGCATTATACTTCTATGTACTTACATACAAATTATGTGTAGCGTTTAACAGTGTTTCCATTTCTGAAATAATGTCTCTTCTTTTTCCTTTTCCTCCTCCTCCTCCTCCTCTTCTTTCACAACATAAGAAGTTTACATGGAAAATAACCAATAGCTTAGATGACTTATAAAGACTATAAAAACAACAAGAAGGAAATTGCCAGAATCTACTACATTAAAAACAGATTCCTCAAGATTGGGTTTAGGTTGTCAAAAAGTCTTGCTATTATACTTGAAAGTTCTCTGACTTATTACGAGTTAACTGAAGTGAGTGTTTTGTTGTGCAGCTTATCAGTTTAGCATAACATATTGCATTAGATAAGTCCCTTAACTCAAGATGCTCTACATTTTAGGACAAAACTACCTGAAAACTCAGGAAAGAGGGAAGGAGAAAAACAGAGAAGGAAGAGAGGGAGAAAGCGAGGGAGGGCAGACAAAAAGTGAGAAAGAAATAATGAAAGAAATAAAGGAAGGGAGGAACCTGTGGCAGCTGTTAAAAACACACATGAACACAATGAATGAGGTTGGTAATAAAAAAAGAAACTTAAAGTTTTGAATAGCCCATGGGGCGGGGGTGGGGGTTGAGGATGGGGAGGACTGAATGTGGAAGGCGGGGGTGGGCAGGGCTGGGGAGAGCCGTGGGGGGAAATGGGGACAGCTGTGATTGAACAACAAGAAAAAAATTTTTTAAATTTCAAAGAGCACCTAAATAAACATGTCAGTATTAATATAAACCCTTATTTTTGTATTTCTTAATTTGCAAATTAGTAGAGAAGACACTAGAAGTTTGAATTATAGGGCTTGATTATTTACCTCCAAATCAAAATCAACAAATCCCATCTAATGTCGTGCTATAAAAGAAAAACCTTAGCACAAAAAAGGTTATAATATATGTCATCAATACAGCCTCACAGATGCAACGTCCAATCAGAGCAGCTGGTTTTCCTTTTCTGAACTCTCATTTTTTCTGATCCTAAGAAGCTGGATTTGTCTGGCTGCCAGCATAATTCCGGAGCAAAAACCTTAATTTAAGTATATATAAAATGCCCAATTTAATTGTATACAACTTAAGAAACAAAAAAACGTAGAATTTCCACATTAACATGCACACTACATACATTACATAATTAAAACAATATAATTAAACACTTAGAATCACTTGGAGCAATCCTTTTGTATTTCTTGATTTCTTTATGTTTACATAGATTACATCAATATCATGTTAACAAAATTTTCACTTACTCTTTATAGAGTATTTTGCAAACTTTATTTTACCAAGGAGAATAAAAACCCAAGAGAAACAAAAGTGGTTTTATACAACTTTGTTTATCCAGACTAACTAAGATATTAAAAGATACCAGTCTAAAAACTAGTAGGGCAGGGGCAGGTGAGTAAGGAAGTTAAAAAGAAGTACAAACTTCTAACTATAAGATGAGTAAAGTCTGAGGGTCTGAGTTAAAACATGGTAACTGTAGTTGATAACACTGTATTAAATAATTGAAATTTGTGAGAGTAGCACTTAAACATTCTCACATGTACACAAAATATAAATATATGAGGTGATGGATGCGTTAATTAACAAGATGGGAGAAGTCCTTTCACAATGTATATGTGTATCAAGTCATCATAATGTACACTTTAAATATCTTACTATTTTATTTGCCAATTATACCTTAAAAAAAAGACTAGAAGAAAACTTCATTTATAGCACTCTGTGACAATCAATTGCATATTCTCAAATAATTATTCACCATGCATAACCTACATCTAAAGGCTTATTTATTGTTATATTTTTGAAACATATAATCTGTAGTTTTTGTACACATTTAAAAAATTCCAGGTAGTTTTTTAATATGTAAAGGACTGCCCATGTTTGACTTTTAGAAATTAAGATCTTCAACTATAAAAGACCACAAATGAAAACAATAGTTGGCAAAACTCACTTTTAAGTGAACAGCATTTTTTAAAATCATGCCTTTTAACTTTTTTATCTGTGAAATATAAAGACTTTTGCTCTTTAATACAATATCTTCATTGTCAGAGAGGTAGAACACAAAATAATTAAAAAGTCTATTGCCATAGGTTTATCTCTTAAAATAGAAGCTTTATAAAATCTGAGTTGTCATTCAGTTCTTCCATTGATTAACCAGATCACAATATGCAAATAACACTGTTTCCTCATTGGTAAAATGAGATTAATTGTATTTGTTTATTTCATAACATTATTCTACGGATCAAACAAAATTATGGGCTGAGAAGTCCTTTGTAAGCTATAGGGTATTAAACAAAATTAAGATTTTTAAAAAATAATAATAATTTTATCATTGAGAAATTATGATTTATGTAAGAGTGTGTTTGCTGCCTAAGCACAGGCATCACCTGGGAATCATGTATTTAACCAATAGGAAGTAGAGGGTCCTCTGGTCACTTCTCTGACAGATTAACAATGTGAAATGAAAGAAAATGATCTCCAGTTAGAGCCATGCTGTATTAGGTGGACAGTGTAATCAGTAGGACAGTTCTTAACACAAAGAAAGTAAAAACATGAGTCTGAAAGAGGGGGAAATATCAAAGGTCCTCTTTATCAAAAGTGAAACTTTGAAATCCATCTATTTAAGATTAATCACTATTCTTTTAGTTAAGCTGTTGTCATCTCTAACTTTCCCTCAGTAGAAAATAATCTACACTTCCAACTAAGTTATTCATGGTCCAATTTGTTCTCAGAATACTATAATAGGCTTTGTGAAGATAAGTTTTATAATAGGGATTTAACATAGTGAGAAGCCAAGACACAGAGGCCTTCAAACACAAAGAATATACATATATATATGTATGTATATGTATATATAAACTGCTCTGGCCCCTCCCCTTCTGCTTGCACTCTCCCGTGTCCCCCTCTCCCAAAAGGACACTCATCCCTACTTAAAATCTAATTTTGACAAAGGATTCAGATAAAATGCCATCTCAACAACTTCATAGCACAATTGATTTAGCTATTGCCCTGTTGCTTTGGAGCCGTTTTCACTAGTGCTGGAAAAAGGGGGAAACTTTGAGTAAAGTACCACTGGAAGGAGGGATGCTCTCAAGGGTTTTAAGAAAGCGAAACGTTCAAAATCTTCCCTCTTGGCAGTTCAGTCTTGCTTGATGACCACATTTACATACTGAGTTCACAGGCTAGAACTCTCAAAGAGAACTCTACTTTCCTGGAGAAAATAAAACATTCAGGGTGGCATCCTGAAAAAAAAGAGAGAAAGAAAAATGGAAGGAAAAGAGAGTCACTGATGATTTATGTACATTATTTTTATTTTCCAAGTTAATTCAGAGACTATTAATTTCCTGTTTTCTCCTTTCTTAACTCTGTACAAGATCTAACTTTCTATATTTATAATGTTAATCTCATTTGTATCCAAAGGAGTGAGTGCATTGGCTATTTGTTTTACAAAGTAGCAAGATCCTTGGAGTGCAGTAAGTTTATTTTCATTCCAGTTTTTTTAAGGTTCCTTATTTTCCCATTTTAAACGTTTCAAGAAACACACAAAATTTAGTATTTAAAATACTAGAAAATCTACTAACGTATTTTAGTAACTAGCTTCCCTTTTCCGTACATGTTACATGCCTGCTGCACCTACTTTGTTGCAAGTCAGGCTATCTTATTTGCATATTTGTAACAAAGTATATAAAAAGATAAAGCTGTGTGGGTTACTGAGTATATTCAAAACTATGGTTTAAAAAATCTTACAAATCACATAAGAATTTTGTAGCAAATATACATTTTAAACTTTTTAAACTTTAAAATTTAACATTTTCTTAAATTGTTTTTTAATAAGCTTTTCATGATTTCCAGCACTCACACCTCTTTACATGCTTTCCAGACTGTTTATACTGTCCCCAATAACACTCAGTGGAAAGCTGTCATTCCTGGCTAAATCCTCACTTAGGGTGGATGCTATGCCTCCGTGAGACAGGGTCAGGGGGTCAAAATCGATTTTGGAGGCCACCTGGAGAGTCCAGGCCATGAACTGACTCGAAAAATTTATATCAGAGCCCGAAGAGTCCACCTCCCAGGGTCAGATCTGGCCTGACACTCCAACCGCAGGCTGGAGCACGCTAGACTGAGCTCAGAGAGAGGCCGGAGTTGTTGACCCTGCTAGCTGACCTCTTCAAACTTCAGGAGAATTTTTTTGGCAGTTACCACGGTGACTGGGTACTCTAAAAGCTTATCCTTCTTACTGAAAGGAGGAAAAAAATTAGGAAAAAATATGTTAAAACCCACCTTGTAGAGATGCCTATCACAGTTAAAGTAAAAAAAAAAAAAAAGGAAAAAGGAAAAAGGATTGAGGAAGCTCGGAGTTGTCTATGTCTTTGATATTAATTCCCGCTTCTATCCGAAAGAAACAGGAACTGCTAAGATGTTTCAAACAGCAGAATTTCACAGTTGCAACAGATACTACTTTTTTTAACCAATAGCTGACAACAATTTCAATAATGTATTAAAATACTTTTTAAACAACATAATTTACTTGGAAACTCTAGTATCTCTTTGCTTTTCTTTGAGAATAATCAGCTTTGAAATAAGATCCATCATAAATGCTAATCTATTAAGGAAAAACACTGTAACTAAATAATCACTTTTGCATCAAAATGCACTCATAATCCTTTTCCTTAAGAGAAAAATGTCCATTTTTGCTTGACTTGAAATAATAAAATTAGGAGAAAAGCAAGAGGCTATTATTATTACCTATTTTATCTTTTACCAAATCACTTAATAAAAATAACATATACATTTAACAAATGATAAAAAAATACTCTGTATTTAACAAAAGAACACTGGGAGGAGAAAAATGCAACACGTACTCTATTTTAGTGCAATGCACATTAAAGCTAAAATAGCCATCGAATAGTCTTCCATGTTAATACCAAATGCTATCTTGTCCTAAGGTTCCACAACAATGGAAATACTTAAAAATTAAAATTTAATTCTCTACAAGGTAAACCTATGTACATTATAAACTTTTACTAGTTTTCTGGTGACAGATTGTAATACAAAATACTTTAAAATGGTTCCTATGTGACTTGAAGTTAGACAAGAATTGTAATAAGTTAGAAGTACAATATTCCTTAATCATAATAATACTTGCTTTTTAAAAATACCTGTGTACTATATAATGACTTTTTGTGAAGGGAAATCATCACCTTTTAGCGTTGCTATTGCTCTGGTCCTCCTTTAATTTTCTTTCTCACACAAGTCTTGAAAGGACTTTCTCTAGAATTTGGGTGGCACCTATGTGTGTGAGGCAGGGGCAGGGAGAGAGATAGGGGGGCCAGAAGTACAAGAGCACCTACAAATGATCAAGCATTGGTGAGGAGAAGGTAGATTTGCATTTTAAAAAGTATTGGCTATATAACACAACAATGTCTTTGGTTTAAATATCATTTCTCATCTTGACTCTAAGCCAAGAAAAAAAAAATGATGAATTACAGAAATGTACTCACAGACGCTTCAAAAGTGAATACTGAAATTTCAGAGGAATGTTTTAACCTGACCTTGAATGTGCATTCTGCTGTGACCTATTTTCACCGTTTTGTAATCACCACTGAATTCCTAGAACAGAATGGACATAAAAACCAAGGACCCGTTAATTAATCTTAAAACAAAGTATAATTTTGAATATAATTTCCTTTCTTGTGTTCAAAACAAGCCAGTGCAAGGGGAGATCAGAGAGAGAGTTTGAGATGATTTTGCCACGTGATCAACTGACAAAATGCAAGTCGTTCAGTCAGACGGTGTGGTCCTTGCCATGGCTAAGTGGGCAACCAGGTTGGTGAGTCACTACAACTGTGGTGCCAGCTCATTCTCTGATGAACTCAGACTGTCCTTCCCAGCCGGGAGCTCTTGGCACGCTTCCCTGAAGACCTGGCTGGTGGCTGGCAAAGCTAGAGGAGCTCTCAAACAGGAAATGAGCTACTCCTCAGGTTTTGAAAAGAGATGATAGAAGCCTTAAAATGAGGCAAGCCAGGCCAGAATCTCCTAAACCACAAGCCTTATCTTGAGTGAAACATTATGTCTAAGTTGGATCTGAAAAGGAAAAGAGGTTGAAGTATAAGACAATGGTTCATTTGTATGCAAGAACACAAGGCCAAGTCTCTTAGCTTGGTTTCCTCTAGTCAAATTCAGGATCTTTCCCAAGAAAAGACCAAAAAACATTTGCCGGTCTTCTGTGTAAACTATTACTGAAGGAACTAGAAAATAAATAGACATTTCATTCAGTAACTCATAGACCTGAGTCTTCTCTTATGTTGAAAAGTCACAAATATGCTATAGAACTACAGGATTTAGGGGCTGAGAGGGCCCTAGGAGATTACTTAGTCCTACCTCTTTACATACGTATGGGAAATGTGAAGCCCAGAACATGACCTGCCTTACTTTCACACTATTAATTACATGCCTCAACTGGAACCTAGACTTTGCTTGGGATTTCTAGCCCAGTGTGTTCTCCACTACAATATGAGGCCCTTCTCACTGGGGCAAAGAAATGAAAAGCCCATACCAGTAGACATATTCGAAACCTTGGAGATAGAGTCATTCTGGGATCATGGTATAAAATGACTGCCAAATTCATTCAAGCTACACTTTCAGGAAACAATTTGAGGTGCCACGCAAGCAGAAATTCCCCCCAAATGAGCAGTGAAACAATAAAATAATGTGTTGCGGAAATTTCAAAATTTTTAGGAACTTATGTCTGATGGTAACAAGGGCATGTTGTTACTATTATTTCTCCAGCTAACTGTTTTTTTATGGACTTGTTATGGCCAATAAGCACTGATAGATTTCCTTTTAATCAGTACAGAATCTTCACTCTGCCAGGTTTGTAATTAAATACCAAGAAGCAGGGTTCTGCGTGTTAGTCCATCTGAGTTTCCAGTGGTTAGAAACAGTCTGTCCAAATATCCAGGAGCTAAATAAGTTAACAACAGCTGCCAGTCCCGAAAGGGCTTAATGTGGTCTTTCTTTAGCATTTCTCTCATTTATTTCAGTTTTAACTTGTATCTCTTATGATCAGGGAATCCTGAAAATGAAGTAAAAAAAAAAAAAAATTCTGTAGAAAAAGTGTGAAATTCATTGCCAATACCCCAAAACTGCCACTTGTCAACTGCATTCAGCTGTAACATTTACTTTCTGTATCATGTATTTTCTGTTTGGACCCCAAATTCCCCTTTCTAACCTGTCATGGCCTTTGGGAGAAGATAATAATTTAATTCTGAGAATTTGGCCCAGGGCCCCAAAGGAAAAAATAGTAAGGGATAAGAATCTAAAGGGAGGAGAGAAAGTATTAGGTGTGCTGAGAGGCCAATGGGTTTATAGGAAAGGAGGCTGGTGTTTAGGAAGATATGTGATTAACAGATGAAGGCAATTGTAGTCAGGTAGTCCTTAACTCCCATCTAGAATTTCAAAGAAATGCTATATCCTTTTCATAGATTCCAATCAGTGTTAGTTAAGGGAGGCATTTTTGGTACTAATCACATGTTAACTTTTTGCAGCAGGAAGTGAAAAACTACTCTGACTGCTCTGAGGCTGGGTCTGAGAATGCTTGCCCGGCAACCCTCGCTCAAAGCTCCTGATGAAACTCAGCTACCTACCTACGCAGTGGGCCTGCGTGCATTGTTCTCTTTCTCAAAACACTTCACTGTTCTCCCCTTGACCCAGAAGCGGACTTCTCTACCCAAAGGCGAAAGCCGTTAAGGGAAGCTTCTTGGCAGAAGGGAACTTTCTGATACGCAAATATGTATTTTTTTAGAATCAAGGAGAGGCCGGCGAGCTGAGCAGTGAACGAAAGTCACTGAGAAAAGGTAAGATGAACAGGGAGAACTTTCCGCTCCGTTCTGAGCTCCACCCCCAGGATCAGGTGGGCGGGGCTCCAGGCCGGTGTGGACGAGGGAAAAGCCGGTGGCCGTCCCCAGCGCCCCCGCCGGCCTGAAGACCTTCCCAGAGCTGTTCCCGCGGTCCCGGCAGACACTGCTCTCCCGTCTAGACACGCATCCACCGCGCGGCGTCTAAAACGACACAGTCAGGAGCAACTTGACCGGTCCCTGCCTGCTACCAAGGCATGGCCACCTGGAAAAAGGCTCACTCTTTTGGCACTTTTCATCGGCTCCTGAGGAAATGATTAAAGACAAAAGATTTGAAATTGAATTTTAACGATTGTCAGAAAAGAGGGGCGAGACGCAGCAGCGGC